TTCCCCCAAAAGCATGTTACTGCCATTTTAAGAAATTGTTTCTATTTCAATAAAAATAACCCTTAAAAGGTTGCAAATGAACACACACACGTTAAGCAAAGAATATTAATATTGCTTTTCTATAAGCTTTAATAGAAACAAAACACGTATCAATAACTAGTAATACTAGCAATGACCAGTGTCTCTGAAGGAAAGAAAATGGAGGGAGAGGGAAGGAATACATTGCAATGCTTAACTGGAGATAGCATATTTCAGTATTATTTCCCAGCAATTCATCTGATTAAATCACAAAACAGAAAAACCTTCAAGTTGCTTACCCTTTCCCATTTGATCCAAAAGAATATGTCCACTTCGTTTCAGTTCATCTAACTTTTGGCTTTTTTCAACCCTTTCTTTTTCGATGACCTACAAAGTGAACCCAAAAGATACAGTTTCAGAGCAGGTCATTTTTCTTGACTCCTCCCCCCACCCCGGTAACACGTATTTTCCCACTACTACCTGAAACACATTCAATTTTTCTTGGATACAGCACATTCTAAGATGCATGTTAGTACTGTTTGTTCAGAAAACAAATGCAAAAGGAGTTAGCTCTCACAAATACCAGGCAAGCAAAAGACTAGTACAACACCAGGAATAAAATACTGTTAAAAGGACGGACGATCCTGCTATGTGAAATCAGCTACTGGGACACCAGCTAATCTGGTGATTGAAATCAAGTGATTGAAAAATTGTAATTATTTAATGTGAACCAGTGAAGAAAAGACCTTTTTTAAGTAGTCCCTTTGCCTCTACAATCTCTGCTGAGATTTCCAGTAGAAGGGAACAGCCACCTGTTCCCTAGAAGTCCAGCTAGCAAGAACTATAGCATACTAGTTATCCGCTCTTATAAGCTCTAGTGCCTCACTCTCCTTCATAAAGAAATGGTGAGGGAAATCCTATGTGAACTCTCATAAGCTCTAGTGCCTCACTCTCCTTCCTAAAGAAATGGTGAGGGAAATCCTATGTGACTACCAAGATTTTTAGAGGAACAAGTTCCTCCCTCAAGTCATACATATTGGTGAATGTTCCTGTGTGAGCCAAGAGATAGCATACATCCAGAGGAAAGATGAGTTCCTTGGCCACAAGGCCACAAATTCAATATTCTCTGAGATTACAATAAAGTATCTCCAAATTAAAATCTTTTCGAAACTACTGTCCAAGGTCATTACTCTGATTTAGACTTGCTACAGTAAATTCAGAAGCAGCATGCATTTATTTGCACAGTAGGGAACAACAAACACCGTCCTACCCACTTAGAGCCCAATCATATAAAAACAGTACTGTTCATGGGAACCTGGTGTTCATCTTGGAGCTTATTTTACAAAGGGCTACAAACATTCATAAAGATCTATAAATAAACTATTGGGAGGGTTGTTTTAGTTTTTATTTCCAACAGTACTGCCATTCCAAGCATTCCTACTGGCACCATTTTGCACTACAGCACTGAGAAGGAGTCTCCTTATAGATATTTTTAAGTATTGTCTTTGATTTCAAAAGCAGGTTTAGGTCCTGCTAAAGCTCCAGTAAGCCTTCATTAACAAAGCACGCTCAAGGACCAAAAAAGGCAAGAATACATTCCTGAAACAGAAGAAATAGAAGATAAAATGGTTATTTCATGGCTCCCACAGGATCCTGTAAAATTATGTATTCTGTCTTTCAAGTCAGTAACACTGTACATGAGTTGTAACTATCAGGTTTTCTCCAAAATTAATAGAGCAAACAACGTGTCCAAACATTATAACAACGGACCACTTTGGACGCTGGGTGGTACAGTGTATGCAGAGTGTCACAGCATGATTCAAGGGGTCTCTGAGTCCATCTCTGCCAAAATTATAAAAATGGTGTCAATCAAGTCCATCTCCAACTGTGAAACATGAAGCCAAAATATGCTGCTTAGTGGAAGAGATACTAATCCTGCAGACAGACATTTATCAGAACTCCTAAAGAGACATCAGTAGTACATGTTTTTAAATTTTCCTGTGGACTGTGCAACCCAACACCAGCAAAAGTTTGTGTCCAGCTGGTCAGAGATTTCCATGTATGTCCAGTTCTGAAACTATTTAACTAAAGGACTTAATCCCACAAAGCATGTGGATCAACCCACACCTCCAGCTGACAGCCAGCTTAGAGACAAAATACACTATTCACCAGAACACTCTCTATCTTCCCATTTTACCTTCAACTTTTCTTTCATGTTTGAAGTCTCTCTCATCTTCTTGTACTCTTTGATGTCTGTGGCCTGAATAGCAGATTTTGATTTTGAAATCCAGTTCAAGAGCTCAGCACTTTCAGCCTCAAACCTGGTTTAAAAGGTCAGACAATTTTTTTTTTTTTGTCATTTTTCCCTATTTATGTCTTAAAAATCAGAAGTCTTAAAGTTCAGCACATTACTCAATCCCAAAACAGCAAGGCTGCACAAAAGATTCCTGTTTCTTATACTACTACTCACAGGCGGTAGGACAGACACAGACTTTCAAAAACCTGCCATAGTAAAAATTGTGTCCATGGTATTAGCCTTTGGGAGCAAGTTGAGAATGCATGGTGCAATTTATTTATTAATTTTTTTATACATATCTTCATGCAAATTATTACTGTTTCTTTTAATATGTCACAAAAGATATCTCTCAATGCTGAGTATTTTGAAAGTAATAAACTAAGCCTCAGGAACAAGACAAATAAGAATTACAGTTCTAGATTTCATAGAAGTCTGCAACACTGTTTAGTCTGAAGAAAAAGCTAGCAGTTTAAGCACTCAAGGCAGTGACAGTCGACAAACTTTTCTGAATGCTTAGCTGACTAAAGATTAGCTTATAGCTTGCTTTTTTTTTTTTTTAACAGTTGGACATGTCTATGCTAACATATCTTTCTTATGCCTAAAACCTCTAAGCTACAACCCACCACCACCAAAAACAAACAAAACAACCCAACGCCTAAATTAACCAATCCTGTTCAGAACTTGAGAGAAGGATAGATACACTATACAGATCACAAGTCAGACCGTATTACAATTATACTACTTAACACAGTGTAAATCCTAACATGGAATAACAGCCTACCAACAAATGCAAAGTCACTGTTCATCATTCAAAGTTTTAATGGGAAAACCTGCAAAATTCTAGTTACTGGCCATTTGTTGGTTTCAACATAAGTGACTGGGATCAGGCAAAAGCATCAGAAAGTTTAACCTATTTTAATTGACACTGTCCTTAACACAGTTTGAACTCTAGGAAAAAAGACAACAGATAAAATCACTTTTGCTTTCGAAGTCTAAAATAGTTTCTACGACTCACGAGACATACAGAGAGAAGAGACGGATGGACTGCTGACTGCATTACTGCCCTGGGACACCCACATGCATACACCACCCCCACCAGGGCTTGGAGGGTCTGACCAGGGTCCTCAAGAGGGTTTAGGAAGCTTCCTCACCCCTTCAAACCTCCACTCCTCCTCCAGAAAAATGAAGAGAACAACTCTTCTTCACTATGCGAACACATTTCACCTAGCACAGCGACTCCTTGCTCCTGACGCAGCCCTCTATCCTCTCCCTAAATGCCCTGCCAAAGGTTTAAACTAGTGACACCTCAAAGAAATGAGCATTTTCTCAGGCAAGCACAAAAAGCAAAATTATGAGTATACATAACTTACTTTCTTAATTATCTTGAAACAATTCCTTTAGTTTTAGGTATGCTATTTAAAGGCACTGCAACACATGTCATTGAATACTGTTTAGCCTAGAGAAGAGAAAGCTCTGGGGAGACCTTATAGCAGCCTTCCAGTACTTAAAGGGGGCCTACAGGAGAGATGGGGAGGGACTCGGATGAGGAGTAATGGTTTTAAAGTGAAAGAGGGTAAATTTGTATCAGGTATTAGGAAGAAATTCTTCACTATGAGGGTGGTGAGACACCGGAACAGGTTGCTCAGAGAAGCTGTGGATGCCCCATCCCTGGCAGTGTTCAAGGCCAGGCTGAATGAGGCTTTGAGCAGTCTAGCGTCTAGTGGAAGGTGTCCCTGCCCATGGCAGGGGGGTTGGAACTAGATGATCTTTAAGGTCCCTTCCAATCCAAACCATTCTATAATTCTATACATGCAAATCAGTCAGCCATTCCAGACATACTTGTGAAAGGAGACATCATTGTAATGTTGTTCTTACTATTAAATACCAAGGAGATGGAATAGGTTTTTGAGCCTTTTTTGTGCAGTTTCTCCCATTTCTCCCATGTATTTTATGGAGATTAGAAATAAATAATAAATAATATTAGAAATAAATAATAAATAAATCAAAATAGTTTCACAACACATTTTAACCAAAGACGAGAATATGTTTTTCCAAAAGAAAGTAAATATAATTTATTCTATCTTTCAGCAAAAGAACTGAGGTACAAAGGACTGAAGACCTGCTTTTTTGAGAAACAAAACACCCTCGTTTCCCTTTGAAATTAATGGAAGTTGCAGGTTTTCTGTTGCTCTGAAAACAAGGCTGTACGTAACATTTCCTTCCCACTCCTCAAACCCAACCTCACAACCACAACTTAATTATTCTTCACTTGCATAAAAGAAGAATCAAAACCAAGACCAAGAGACATGAGTCTATAAAGTATCTAGTGAGCAAGGGAAAATAGCAGTGACATATACTTACTTTTTCTTTGCTTCACTGTCCCCTGGGATTTGCCTTTTCTTTGGGGGTGGCGGTGGGGGCAACTCCTGTCTGGATTGTTTAACCACTACCTGTTCCTTCAATGGCATTGTCTCTGCAGCAGTCTTCTGTGGAACCTGTGACATCCCTACACTTCCTACAGCTTGAGTTACCTACACAAAATAATTTAGCAAAAGGGTTAAATGCCATTTCTAACACAACTGAATTGCTTTTGCTTAGTTCCTTTTATTCATCAGTCATACAAGCCCATTCATTCACTGCTACAAATGACCACATTTAGCCATGAAGCACCTTTACCACAGATGCACTCCAGAGAAAAACTTTATTATTTCCATTTTACAGATGTGAACCACGCATCAAAATTCTCAGTTTAATTAGAATTTCATGCCAGTCCAAGCGAACTAAAATCAACAAAATAAGCATTATATCTTTTTTTTTAATAATTGCTTGGTTCACAGAAAGAACCAAGGTCCTTTGGGTTTACTAACACACAATTCTGTATTTTATATACATACCCCATAAAAACAAGCCTAGATCTCAGAAAGAGCTAATACACAGTGGATTTGACCTAAAAACTCACTCAAGTTAATAGAAAGCTTGCACACTCTTTAACGGGTTATAAAGTAAGTCCCATGGGAATCAACCCGTAAGTTCTAAGTATGTGCTTGATATTTAGGGGGAGTGAAAGGATGAAGGCAGGATTTGGCACTCTCCGGTGCTTTGACTCAAACACAAGAACAAATTAAAGCCACGTGGCTAAAATGGACCCCTACTCAGACTGCACAACTCACTCACTATACACGAAATGGATCATGAATCAGTGCCCCAGCCTTTACCATAACAACATTTTAATATCACAAAAAAAGGGACATATGAGTCATAAAACTGTCGAACAAAATTCTCACAATGGGAGTTCTGTCCAAATAAAAACATTACCAAGCACTCAAAATACTGAAATAAACATTTAACAATCCAGCTTGGCTATTATCATTATATAGCAAACAAACAACTACTCTATTTTCAACAGATGAGAAATCATACTCACAGAGCATAAATGCTTGTATGACTCCCATTTATTTATCTATTCTGGGTTTGGGGTTTTGTCTTTGTTTTCTTTTAGTATCAGATTTAATCCAGTCCCAGCACTCTTATAATATTTAAAGGCATTTGCATTGATTGATAATGCATGGCAAGCCTGCTTTACTCATCAGAAAAATGAAGCTTAATCTGTGTGAGAAAGGAGTAATAGTACTAGTCAGGTTAACAACTTGGGGTTTTGAAGACCAAAAAACGCAGACAGCTTTGTCAGCAGATAAAGTCAGCCCGACGTGAAAGAGCACTCACCTACCTCTCTAGCCTGATGCCAAGAACTCGCCTGGGCAATTTTGCTGACAGTATCAATGAGGTTTGCATACATACAGACATCTAAACAGCTAAAAAGTAACAAAGCCTTGTTAAGTACCTGGTTAGAGTAATCCTCTAACTTCTGAACCAAACTGTCCCACCTCTGAGTGAGTTCTTCTTGATCCTGATCAATTTTACTGGATGCTCTGCCATTCCCAAGGATTTGGGCCACATCCTGACCTAGCTCATTTAGCTGGTCTAGTGTTTGCCGTTTCATACCCATGTCCTCTTTCAAAATCTGAAGTTAAAAGAAAACATTAAAAGACAACATCAAGTATCCTGCCACCCCTTAGCTTTTAATTCCTTGGAGACAAAAAAAAAAGTACTACCTGAGCCAGATGCATCACAGGTTTCAAAACAGTTCTCTTGTGTAACAAAACACTAACAGACACTCTTAAAAAGAGCACATCCCTGAAACAGCTCCTAGAGCAGTCAGCAGTACCTCTTGAATAACAGCTACAAATGATTAGTTCAGGTACAAGCTGCAGGAATGTATTAAAAAAACAAACAAACAAAAAAAAAAAACCCAAAAAACAAAACCACAAACCACAAACTCACACTTCAGAAAACACAGCTGACTGGTGGCTTGCAATAAACTCCAAACCCTGTCAAAAACCCAGGATAGCTGTTTCAAAGTTTGGCACACCAACCTGGAATGGCCATGGAGTAAGTTGTACACATTTTTTAAATTCAAGTGAAAGAATCTGGCAAGGGGAGAATATTGTCCCAGCTTCCAAAGTATCATGCATTCACAGCTCCTACTGGGATCATGGTAATTTGCCATTCATTTAGTCTATGAGACTTGACAGGATAGAGCAGGATACTCACTGCTAGTTTTCGAACATTCACACTCAGGTCTGTCTGATCTTTGAAGTTGCTTGTCTGGACCTTACTCAAAGCCTCTTCTTTCTCAGTTAACCAAGCTTTCAATAAGCACTGCAGATTGTAAGAAAAATAGAGCAAGAAAATACCAAGTTTGTCAGACAGCTATTGACAATTCCTTCTTTAAGATCTTTGCATTCAAAGCACAGTTCTGCAGTCTTTATATGCAGGAATTTCAGTTGGTGTTAACATAAATATAGTGGGCATGGTGGTGTTGGGTTGACGGTTGGACTTGATGATCTTAGAGGTCTTTTCCAACCTTAATGATTCTATGATTTTATGATTCTATAAAAGGGGACAAAAAATATCAGATCAGAGAACTAAGTAATACTTTCCAGCAAAACAATTTCAACAAAACCATTTCTCATCTATCAGAGCGCACCGCCCCCGAAGTTATTTATAGCGACCAAATATCCACCATAAAGCTGATGTAGGACTTATAAATTATACTAGAAGTAAATATATCAAAATGGTATGTATGCTTTCTTTCATTCACCCTTCTTCCACTGTGATTCAAAACCAGCCATTACAAACGTTTTCTCACAGAAGCTACACCACTGATAATTCAGAGCTCTGTTACTCCAGGCAGTCGGTCAAACACTCAGTTATTAATTAGCCATCACCCTGTTTGCTGTACCTACTTCCAATTGCAAAATAACTTCAGCAGTCTCATTAACTGCTGAAAGCTGGAGTGGTCTGCTCTGGATATTACTAACTCAGGGATCTTGAACTTTTTCCACTTTTTTCTAGGAAATCTGTCCTGGGTCTCACTTCTCTTCAGTCACACAGCACTCCTATGGAAACTCCAGCAATAACTGGCATCAAGTACCAGGAAGAATTTTATACATTTTATATTATGTTGCAACATATTGCTGCTGCTGCACAGCCATCTCCATAGATTAGAATTCCCAGGTATCTATCAAGCTCAGTTGCATAGCCACTGGTACACTGCTACTCCTCTGTCTTTGAAGAAGAAAAAAAAAAAAAAAAAAAGATATAGTAAGGCAGACCTTTTTGTTCTTTGAACAACACACTTTACAACAGCCACTAGGCTCCTCAGTCTAGTTGTATATTTTTGGCATTGTCCCAGAACTGACTACAGCAACTTTTGGGCCAAAGGGTTAAGGCAGTTTACGTTGCCAATCTAAACCAATATGCAAAATGTACAGACAGCAAATACGATGGTGGTGGAAATGCCATAAGGCTGTGAGAAACAAAATTATAACACCACATATCCTCTGGTAAAATCACGCTGGCATCCCAGCCAGCATATTTTATGCGTAAGAAGAGCTTAAAAACCCTTCAATGTATTCATTTAATTTCTGCTAAATCAGCAGTCAAAGATAACTCTCCCTAGAAAACTGAAACATAATTATCACAGTGCTAAGAAATATCTGGCACTGATTGAGGAATTTGTTTCCTGAGTGGTAAGAATTGTGTTGACTTGGCAATGTGGTTTCCAAAAATTTTCTAGGCAGCCACAAAAAGGCTGATGCATCACTGTTGCTCATCTCCCCGTCTGGTTGGGCGAAATGGAAAATGATAGTACCTAATGTTTTAGTTACTTTTGTGTTAACAAAGTGTTTGTATTAACATTTTTAATTAGTTTCAAATTGTAATTTTTGTAGGTCTCTTGATAATTCTTGAGGACAGAGAACTGTATTTCAAACCTGTTAGTAATAAATGCATTGTTCAGAGTTGAACAACGAATGCAAACATAGGCTGATCTAAACCACCTAAAATAAACTTCTATTTCCTCCTTACTTGCTCTCTGACACTCTACATTAAATAAACACCGCTTAATTTTTTTTCCACTTTTACAGAGCAACATAATTACATACAAATTTTAAAAAGCTGAATGCAAAGCAACTCCAACAGAAGATGACACTCTTAGCAGTACTGTAATAGTCAGTAAGTGGTCACTTTTCCCCAGACAAATCTAAGGGTGGAAGAGGACAGAAACATGTTCACATAGGGTCATCAAAACTGAGAGCACTTGAAGTCCGTACCTTGACATAGAGAGCGGAATTCTTATTTCTCAACTCAGAGACTTACCTTGCCCAAGAGTTGCCAGAAAATGTTAACACACAATTTTCTGTATGTACGTACACATATGCCAATGCAGTATTTTAAAGAAATTATATATAAATAGACACTTGGCATTGGACAAACCAGAATCTGAACCTTGGGTCCATATTAACAACAAGGTCACATGAGCTGCAAATTCAGCTTATCAATATACTGCAAATAGATACAGGAGGGGTCAGGGAGAAACACATATGCAACCCCAAAAAATGCAGACAAAACATCCCTGTCAAAGAAACCAGGCTGTAACTGATAGCGACAGCTATATCAGCACTGTTCTACTTCTTTCAAATGTCTAAACAATCTGTGTGTACTGCAGAGTTTAAACAATAGCTTACAGTGATAAATACCACCATTTAAGAAAACAAAACAATTTAAGTAAAACCTTCAAAGGAAAGGCCATCAAATATTTAAAGCCAAGACACAAAACAAGCTCTAGCAGTAGGCATGCAAACCTAACACATGTAGTTGTGTTACCATATTTTATGCCATCAGTTAATTTGTGTTTGAGCAGTATATTTAATATATACGTAAAATGCACGTATATATCAAAGCAAGAAAAAACTCACAATGCCATCTTCTTCACAATTCAACTGTTTGCCTAAACTCAGCAAAATGAGACAAGCTGAACGCTTCGCTATATTGACCAAATGTTTTACATTACTGATTTTGAAAACAGTTATCTATTGATTAGTTGATTGCACAACTGTGTACATGTATCCATGTTGGAAGCACATATACCTTCATTAGGAAAATTTCTGTAATTACCAAACCACCAAATACTTAGTGATTCATTGTCATTTTGCTATCACGGATATTCCCACTTCTTGGCCATTTTGCAAGCTACCTTGGAAATTATTTTATAAGGAGTTATAAACTTTCTTACTTAAACTTTGGAAAATACTTCTCTTGCACTGCACAGATACTCTACTCCTCAAGAAATGCTGGGAACCCAAACAATAACACCAAATCTAGTTTTTCAAGGCTTTTTTTTCCTGAGAGCTGTTAAACCCTACTACGGGTTCGGGTTTTTTTTTTTGTTTGGTTGGTTTTTCCCTCCACAAATCAACCAATCACTCTGGGTAACTGAAGAGCCACTAACCTGCTCTTCCAGCAGCTCCTGCCATAAAAGCTGAATTTCTTGCAACTTTACCCGTCGTTCCTCAGTCCAATGACAAACTGCTGTCCACCGCTCACCAAGCCTCTACAAAAGCAGGAAACACTCATGAACATTCACAAACCTCACAAAGAAACTCAAAAATCAGATATTCAAAAGCATAATTTCTACTTCACAGTAACCTCTTTCTACATTATAGCTACCTTCTTGCCAGTAATCGCCATTATTATATTGCACAAAGCTGGAGGTTAAAACTTTCAACAGCATTCACATATGGCCTTACCTCTGCTCCTGCTGAAGTCAGTGAGCTATTTGATTGACTTCAAAAGGAGCGAGCAAAATAGCATGAATTCTGTTTCAATAAATGCTGTTTCACACTCTCCATACTTCAGGTTACAGTCTAACTTCTGACAAAAATGGGAAAATACTTCACACGACATTCCCTAGATAAATTGTGCTCATGTCTTTAAATATTTTTCCCATCAGATTTTAACTTCCTAATGAAAATTACTTATGTGAAATAAGAATTGTACTGTGCATCTTCTCATTTTAATGAAACTGCTGAAAGGATACACTATAAAAGTGCCTAAGTTACTGGGAATGCAAACAGCTTGACTCATGAGGAATAGAGCTTGAAAGTCACCAAAGCATTTTTGCAGGTTTTACCCTGCACAAATTTAATAGTTATTTACGTTAATATTACTTCTAAAAAAAAAATACTACTTTAAATTACTTTCTAGGATAAATTGTCTTTAAACACAAAACTGCTGATTAACAGTTATATGCAAAAGTTGTAAGTGCCTGCTACTACAGTTAAAAAAGAGGGCTCTAACATTTTACCTGCAATTGTTCCTCCAGAATAGCTGTTGCACTTTCCCCACTGCTTTCATCAACAATGACGACCATGTGCGTTAGGGAGTTTACCTTCACCTGTTCTGTCTCTAGGTCACTCTGCAGGCTCTAGAAGAACAAATCAGAGGTAACCAACTTTGAATACATTTGCGAATCTGCTATATTTGGCCACAGTGACTAATGTAACTGCTATGGCAAAGTACTTCAGATTCAACAGTTAAGCACAGATTTTACCACTGGGAATCACTGCACAGTTTAAATAAATGTAAGCAAAAGACGGCTAGAAATGAACCCAAAACCATTCTGTTAAAATGTTGGAAAACATGAGGGAGTGCTTTAAGCTGTATGCACCACACTTGACTAGGAGAATCATATGACAACTGCATTGACTTTCTATATGTCTACTACCTATGTTCTAGGTAAGAGAGCTTAAGTGTTTCTATAAAAAGCTATTAGTGTTAATAAGCAAGTATCCCAGGACACGGCAAACAGGAAAAATCACTAAGAACATTCATTTTTTAATAGTTGACAATATAATTATCAAAAGTATCAACAGTGATATAATTGATCATGATGTTCAAAGACAATAGTCGAAAACTGCAGAAAGCATACAGTTCCGATTAGTTTGAAATAATCTATAGATTTAAATATTCATACAAAAGAAGAGATTCCATGGTTAAAGCCTACTTCCAAAATATCTTTGCAAGATCAATATGCCTTTACAGTACTGCAAATACCACTTTTCATCCCAGAATATGCTAAGCTACTGCATGAACAACACGCCTTAAACTCCCCAGACTTTGAAGACAGAGGAAAGAATGCAAATGTGGGACAAGAAATTACACAGACTAAAAATACTCCACAGTTCTTGCCCTGTGAGGTATGTCCCATGCTGGGAAGAAGGTCAAACCTCAGCACTGAGTACAAAAACCAGAGCTGCAACCATAACAAGTATCAAAAGACCATCTTTCTCCTTCAAAAAAACACTGCAGGCTAGAAAGGCTGGACTCCCACCCAGAAACTTAATTGAGACACAAACCAATTCCAAAACGTCGTGCACATCAGAGACCAGTGTCTATGCACCCCCTTAGGATGCGATCCCTGTAAAAGCAGGGACTGGAATCAGCGACATGGGAGGCCCTTCCTGATAGTTTTAACTCCTGCATTAGTTTAATCTGCAGGTCTCAAGCATGCTTTAGCAATGCCTGCCAGTCATTAAAGGCAAGTTTGTCCACAGTACATTTCATACTGTCCCTCACACCAACAATTTACCTGGAGAGGCCTCATTTCCTGTACGAAGTGAGGGTAACACAATTTCCCCTACAGGTTTTGCTTCCTGCATGCAGCAAAGAAACAGTTTCTGCTATAGTCCTCAGTGCTCAAGTGTTCAGTTAAGAAAGCACTTCCAGAAAGTTCCAATTCCTTTCTACCCCATCCTTTTCTAAATATCAAATGCAGCCCCTCAGCATACAGCCATATATAACTTCTGACACTATCAAGTTTCTCAGCTAAGGAACCCTCCAATGTACATATCTTCCAAATATTTCTCCCATACGTATTACATAACAGAAAAAGGGGTTACTTTATGTTCCTCCAGGTGTTTTTGAAGGGACTCCAAATCTTCTGCTGAGAGCTGAGATTCCATCTTCTGAATGCGTTCTTCTGTGACCGTCAGCCAGTCAGACAGCTGCTGTAACTGCTGCTTCTGGAGCTCCATCAGCATGTCGTGCAGGCTGCAGGGGGAAGCACAGGCAGAGTTATTTTAGAAACCGTTTTCCCAAGGAAAGAGACTAAGTTCTAGTTCATATAGGAAGGAAGCAAGGCCATTCATAAACCAGTTAGCTATCATCAAACAAAATTTTCACCATCAAGCTAAGTTAAATATCCTTGTTTCTTTCTCAACAAAAAAAGTTAGTGAATTATGCAATTTATATCAGGGATTGTTTCTTGCAACAGGGATTTGCCGCCAGTAGAGCCTCTGCTGCAAGTTGCAACAAAATGCAGCTTCGCCCTTGATGTGCAGCTCTTAGCTTGAAACCCACAGGCAGGAAAAAATTCTTCTAAGTGCTTTTTAGTTGTGTAAATGCACATAGCTATCCACATCTACTGTATGCTTTATTGAGGAACTTAAACTACTGAAACAATATTAAAAACACATTTATGTAACTACTGCATGTAGATACTATATATTTAGTCTGGCACATTTACATAACATAACAGTCACAAAATACTTTTATATAAGAATCCAAAAAACCCAATTATATTAATTTCCTTTTTTTCACCTTGCAAAGTATGAAGAAGGTGGATTTCATGTCACAAACTGAAGAGTTAATTCTGAAAAAAAAAAAAATCTTACAAATGGATGCAAACCCACTCCTCCGAGATGCAGTAAGCACCAGAGGTCAGTCCTGCAGCTCTAGGAGAGGTTATGCAGCATGACTCACCGGGACTGCCTGTCCATGCTGTCCACCCTGAGCTCCTCCCAGCGGGAGTTCAGCAGCAGCATTTGCTCCTGGATCTCAAACTCCTCTTCAGGCGACAGATTTCCCTGGGCCACCAGTTGGTTTCCAGCCTGCAGAACGCTGCCCACGCTGCTCTGGTGCGCAGTCAGTTCCATCATAAAACCCTGGAAACAGTACAACCAGCCACGTCACCATGATCTGTGAGCTCCTACAGGAGTTTATGAATTTGTAAACGTCCTAATAAACTGTCATGTTTGAAACAGTGCTGCAGAATGAGCTGACACCATCAAATACACAAGCATGGCAGACCTGTTCCTCTTTATGACAGAAGATTCTTCATGAGCTATAAAAATTCTGGAGCCAGTAAAATAGAGCTCATTGAGGGAAAAAACCTGACCACCTCAGAGGAAAAGCTGTTTGTAAGACGACAGCTTTTGAACAAATGCACCAAGAAAATAAAACAGAAACTTACCTATGGCCAACAGAACATTAAAAAAAGATCTGAAATGTATCGTAGGAAAGCAAATAGAACCCTATGAGTTAATAACATTAAAAATTCACATATTTACTATAAATCCAGAAAACCTCTTCCTCTGGTTCATGGCTTTAAAACTGTAGCACAAGTTAAAAAAACATGCTTTATATTGATAAGCATTCAGATTTTAAATTCAATTGTATACAGTAAGCTGACACAGGAGAAAACTAAAACATCTACCATGACACTTGAAACTTTTAGCAACATTAGAACATTTGTCCAGACTTGGAATAGAACCAAAACAAAATAATTTGGAAACAACAATAATTTGGAAGCAACAACACATGTTTCTGAAATAAACTATGCTAATCATGACAGAGAGACCACTGAACTAAATTGACATGATTATCAATTTCAGCATTGCCCTCATTTAACAGCAAGTGACATAAGGCTGACCAGGCTTTTTAGTAGTTGGCAGCAGAGAAGCACGAATCAGCCTGGATCAGACTGTCTTTGTATCATAGACACCAGTGAGCCAGTCACCGAAAGCTGATTAAAAAAAAAAATACATTAAAGTTTCAAAGCATGTTCCACTATAAGTTCTCCTAAAAAGATCTATTTGACCTTCAAGAAGCTATTATTTGTCAACACAAAAATAAACAAACAACAACAACAAAACAAAACAAAAAAATATGCATCACATCCAGTTAGAGGTGCTTTTAATTTAGAAAAAGCAAGACAAAAGAAACAGAATGGCAGGTTTTGGATAAGGACTAGGAAATGGAAGTTTTGCAGCTCTCACACACAAAAAAAAACCCACAGCAAATGGATTTTCAAGAGAAGCTTACTTCATGGGTGGAAAATTGCTCTTTGACTTCCTCAACATCACCAGATATTTCCTCCTGTTCCCGAAATGCATCCTCAGCTGACAGCAACCATGTAAGAACTTCTTCCAGAGCAACTTGGTAGCTGTCCAAGTCCATATCCACCTCTGTCACTGTGCTGGGAGTCTCTGCTCTAGAACTGCCCTGCTCCTCTTCAAGTGCTACAGCCTAGGCAGCCAAGAGGAAAGTGATGTCTTACAAGTGCACAAAAGATGCGTTCCCAAATGATACTAGAAATAGAACAACTAAGATCCCTTATAATCCTTCATAAAATGTTAAAAGTAATTGCTGGGTACATTTTAATGAGAAAGGCCACAGTCCTTGAAATGAACTTCATTTTAAAATAAAGAACCTGGATAGAAAATACAACTTTAATCTTGCTCATTTAACAGTGGATCTCACACCCAAACAAAAACCCATCACTACCACCACCACCACAAGTCCTGCAGCAAACTCAGTTAAAGATTTTGGGCCGCCCTCTCCAGTTTGCCAAGACAAATGAGAAAGAGAAGCAAAAGAAGGAAGCATAACACAGATGGAACTTTATACCTCAACACACAGGATTTTGTACATGAATCAGAAAAGAAGAAAAAGAAAGATAGAATGACTGAAGTCAATCACAAAGAAGATGCTATGATTTTTCATATTTACCCAATCGTGTTGCCTAAGACAAAAGGCATGTTCCAGAGATAACTGACAAGCCTGAAGATCAGCTAAAATTACAACTCAAGAAAAGCCAGGCAGACTTCGATGACAAACACACCTGCTGCATGTTGAACTCTCCATCCTCACACTCCTGCTTGTATCTCCTTGGAAGGGTCTCCACCTCCCGGATGTCTTCCATAGTGACTTGCTTAGGAAGGACCTCAAACAAAGAGGTTAAATACATAATAATAGATTTTTTGTCTGGAAGCTGTACAGCAACATCTGCGTCAAAGAGATAAAATATGGGGAAAAATAAATGAAAAAGCTGCTTTTCTAAATCATTTCTTAGAATACAGTTAAGACTTTACATAGAGTGTAAATCACAGGTTCTCCTGTTAAATAGCCTTTAGTAAGCTTTAAGTTAAAAGACCAAGTGTGACATAGTTGAAAGCAGTATGAAAGAGGAAAAAATTTAAAAAAATAAATTTTCTACATTTGGAAGTGAATTCACATTAGAAGGCATGATCTTTTTGAAGTAAAAGTACAAACCTGAAATTACTAAGGAATAAAAAACGGTTGGGGAAAATTATTCTGGAGCATCTCCCAAGCAGAAATGCAGTTCAGGGACAGTATCCCACATAAACAAACATTTCCACTTAGGCTCTATCCCCACTCCCAGCATTGGTCAGTTCATTTTCTTACTTTTCACATGAAAGAGAGTTTCACTGACTCAGGTTCACTTATCTCTTGGGTTATGAGTGCTACCCGTTCAGTTAACAATTTTTTACTTTTTTTTTTTTTAAAAAAAAAAAAAAGAAGGTGTTGCTTGAATCTATAAAGTTTGAGAGCTTGTCTGACAGAATGAATCTTTGGAGGTTCACTTCAAAGCAGAGCGACAGCTCAGGATTTTAAAAAGGAGCCATAAAACTTTCCTGGTAAGCATTCCTACACGGTAAGTACTCACAGCACTGCTACTCAGCATATATATAACGAACAAAAGCTCATGAGCTCTTAAGCTATCCCATTCTACATAATGCTCTACTTCAGATGAAGCACAGACCCTTGCAGTAGAACTCCTACCTAAAATAAAACAAAGCCAGAGTACCAACTTCACCTTCTGTATATTGCCTCTGAATGGTAAGCCAATCTGAACCTTAACATTCAAGAAGTCGAAGCATACGCACGCACAGACATACCCTTACCCTACAAATTACATTCTTTTAAATCTATATTTAAGGGCTTGAAACAAAATATCACTGCACAAAACTGCTGGAATTTATATTCATAGTAAGTATCAATAGAAGAAATTTCTTTCAAGAGAGCTCAAAAAAGCTTCTGGTCAAGTAAAATAACTATATCCCACCTTCAGGATCCAACAGTTTCTCAATTCCCAAGTGGTTCTTGGCTATGCTGAAAGCATGTTCCAGCCTCTCAACTGGGGACATCTTTATAACTTTATCCCAGCTGAAAAGCTCAGGTCTAAAAGTAAAGACAAAACAGGAAAGAAAGCAGTAAATCTTATCTGAAGAAAAAATTCCATACCATGCAGAATATGAGGTTACGGATATGGAGGTAGCTACCTAAGTAATATAAACATACACACAAAATATAAACATAAGTGCATAAACACAAATGCATCAATACAAATACGTGCTTTCTTTTTATTAGTGAGAATCTGGCAATCACAAATCAATTAGCTGACTGCATGCCCACAGCAACACCCACCTTCCATTCTATGTATTCTATACATACACTCATTGACTGCAACAGGAGATTAAATACTACTAACAAGAAAATAAACAAACTCTGTGTTCAAAATTTATTCCAGAACCAGTTTTCCTCAACTGTTTCTTTCACAGCATTACTGTTATTACATGCTTTCTCCATCAGGCTCTGCTGGGTAATCACGAGTCACTCTGTTCCTGGAGAGCTTCATTCCAAACTTGTGATGTGGCTGAGTGACCACCCCAGGCCATCTCAGCCAGGAGCAGCAGGGGTCTCCACCCCTGCTCACTCACCCTGCCCCACGGCCTTCTTCCCTCATTAAAAAAAAAAACCTATAAAAAACCCACTCCATCACAAGTGCTCGTGAGAGTCACAATGTGAATCAGACCAAGGAGCTGATCAATTTACAGTGCCAGCAGCCTTCATCTCACATTAGCGTTGACCAAACCAAATCTCCAGTCCAGCTGTGCACCCAAAACATACCAGCAGGTCTCAAGGGGAAAGAGCAGAGCATGGAGCAGGAAGTAGGGTCAGCAAACAGGGCCCCCTCCTAGTGGTACCTACATCGACAGGTCATGATCAGCCTAGTGCTGCAGCAGCACAGCTGTAAGACTACAAGCCATTAAAATACTTTCCATTCCCCTGTAATAGTGGCTTCTCATTAAAACACTGCTGTTGATTCTGTCCTTTATAGAACTTGGGGAGGAAGAGATGGGCTTGCCTTTAATTTTTTTAATACTTAATTAAGTTGTAAATTGACCTGAGAGTACCCTTTTAACATCTGTGAAGTCATTACACTTCGTGAAACTGGAAGGCCACAAGCCAGCAGGGTCTGAGAAGCAAAAAGCCAGAGAAAGGTGGGGTGAGCGGGGAACAGAGATGTGCAAAGATCCTGATAGAAGCTAGTGGAATACCGTACCTCCATGCAAGAAGCAACAAGGATAACCACAAAGATTCACATAAAGCTTTAGCAGAGACTTTTACTTTGAAAAACACATTGCAATAAGTATATTGTGTATGCACTACCTGCACACTGCTGTAATAACACAAATTTTAATAAAATGCTATCTAGTTATTTACTTATGAAAATTGTACCAAAGAGCAGAATTCAATTCAAAGAACTGAAATTAGGAAATGGAAGAGACCAGCACAGTAAAATGTTAAATGTCCTATTACCTCATATAATTTTATTAAGTACTGCAAGTGTTGCAAAGTTACTAGATATTATAGTCAAGAGGTAGCATTGCTAACAATTGTTGATAGATACATAAAGAGAAAAGCAAGCTACTAAACCTCTTAATGGGATCCAAAAAGATTGTACTATATTAAATGTCATATTAAGCTAAATTAAAAAAGCAATACTGAAAATGCCCCTTAGGCAGGGAAGCACTGCTGTCTCAGTAAGCTAAATAGCTTTGCTGTCCTACCTCTTCTGCAACCTGCGCCAATCCCCTTGGTTCCTTGCAAGTGCCTTTTAAAGCTTTTCTTTCAAAGCCGACCTAAATTTAAACCCAGCTCAGGATTTCTCAGAAGTGTGGGAAAAATGGTGCTTCCCTGGCTAAAGGACTGGTGCCCAGGGACAGCAAAGCTGAATTCTGATGCGCTGGCAACTGCCAGTCTCCCAGGAAGAGGGAATAAAAGGCTCAGAGATCAGCAGAACCAGGTAACTGAGAAATTTTAGGAAGCCAGAGGAAAACACAGTTACTCAGTTAAAGTTTTCAGCAGGGGCTTTTGCTACTTAACAGTGCTCTGAAAAGGGCAGAGCTCACAGACTTCAGATCCCACAAAGCCCAAGCACATCGTCACAACACATAAGGACAACAACAGCCTGAAGAAGCCAATTTCTGCTTCCCTCAGCTCTCCTAGGTCTCACTTGTGTCTAAAGCTGGCACTCTCTCCATCACAAAGCTTCACAGGTTCAGCAAGAGAGCTATGCCACTACAGGCAATTACGCTGGTATGAAAACCACCAGTACAGCTCACACCATCCAGAGAAGGGACTTGAGAATACTTCTGATAAACTCCAGAGAGACCTTCACTAGCATTGCTCTGCCTTTGCAGAACAGTCCTTCCAAACTTTCAGGAGCCCTCAGTGCGGGTGCAGGCGCTCCCCATGCATCCGTGCAGGTTGAACACAAGCCAGCTCGAGTCTACAAGGCACATCGGTGTGTCAGGGCAGACCCATCCTGAAGCCAGCGAGCCTGTGACAGAGCCTGTTATTTCAGTCAGCACAGGCCAAATGGGCACTTAAGAGCAGAGAACAGCAGGCTCAAAGTGAACATATGCTTTTGCAAACACTTCGTATTTGCTGGGTATAAATATTCTAGGTGTTTGTAAAGCATTTGTCATGACAAATACCTGGTTACAGGAGGTATGGTTAAATTCTAGATATTATCATACCATTACCATATAAAAACAATTATTTATGGTTAAGAACAGTCAGCCCTTGCAAAGCAATGAGCTGACCTCATTTAAAGTACGCTGGATTAGAATGGATTGCCCAGAAGCAGATCTCAAAAAAAAAAAAAAAAAAAAAAAAAAAAAGAAACTTTGGTATGTAAGTTTCATAGGAGTCTGTAATGATGGTTTCTTTAGACTACCAAAGAGTTCTCCAAAAAATCAGAAAGAACACAAGAGATCTGTGCAAAGAAGCTTTAATAGCATTCCTTATAAAGTATAATGAAGAAACTAATGAATACGCTACAGATACCTGAAGTATTCTGTTACCCTTTGATTCTTCTGCTCAACAGTTCTCCTGAAAGAACTGCATACATTGCCTTTCAAGCAACATATACTGAAAAACTAAGAAAAGCCACAGAGCCTGTCTTTCTTATTCCTTCATTTTGAAGCTTCTGTATCTTCCTACTAAAATGATATGGCAAACTCCGACTGAAGAAATGTTTCCCTTTGCAGAGGAGAGAGCGCAGGAGGAAGGAAGTACGGGGGAAGGAGGTGGTCAACCCCCCCTGTAGAGACCCACTCAGCATATTCGCCATATAATGCATACTAAGTGGGATATAAATCCACTTCAATTAGGAAGTGTGCGTGCACGAGCAGGAATTGAGAGTTACACTGCTGCCTTGGCTCCATCCTTTGCAAGGCTCTGGCAACATCCCTCCACTGTTATTGTTACCACAACAAAAAAAAAAAAAAAACCAAACAATGAATCACCAAAACAGGCTAGAAGCTGTCAAACGCTCAAGCATGAAGACATGGGAAGAAAGCTGCTTACTTCACTAGATCTGAGATAAGCTGTTTGCTACTTACTTGTGCCTGTGGATGACAGCATTAAAGGCGAGTCCATCTGCCCAGCTTGTGGTGAAGTTCAGAACATTGACCTGACTGTAAGGTCTCGTGGACTGCCGAACCCAGCTCAGCAGGATCTTCTCACTGTTGGTCTGCTGCAAATCTGACATAATGTTCTTCATGACATCCTTCACCTGCAAGACAGCAGCAACTACACCTTACAGACATGTTCTCCACTTTTCCTGCTTACAAAACCTTTGAACCAAGCTATTTCACAAATTGTGAAAGGGTCTTTTCCATGAAAAGCTATGAATCAAACTCTAACTCCTCACATGAGATTCGGGAATAGGAGTCTTCAGACCATCTTTGCACTCTGCTGATTACAAGAACCAGCAATGCTTCATGTTATACTGACACATTACTCTTACGTTACAATCCTCCCCCTCTCCTCAGTGCTGCCTACACTAAGAGTATAGTATTTCTCACTGCCTTGTGCACCAGTAAACAAACCCCAAAAATACAGCTTGCACAGGTTTTCTGTAAGAAGAGGATACCTGCCCAGCCAACAAAAGTAGTTTGCTGTTTGGGTACTATGAGGAAGGAATATAAATACAATGCTTCAGCCTGAAAAGTCTCTCTGCAATTAACACCAGCAGGAACTAAACTGAGAGACTGAGTACAACTGAGCACAACTGAGCACATACGAGAATACGTGCCGCAGGAGGAAGCCAATAGACAGAGCTCAGAAACCAAACACTAGCCTGCCTTTATTTACCAGCCCAAAATAGAAGCAGTATTTTCTGCCACCAAAACCCCGGGAAGGTTTGTGAGAATCCCAGCAGATTGATGCACACGATTGCTGGAAAGGAAGATCTCACAGCAGCCTCTCACCTGCCAGTGCAAGATAATGCTCCACAGCAGCCCCAGCGTCAGCTTGTGATTTCCATCAACAATGTCAGTTCCTCCAATATTCACCAACTCCACCTGGAGAGGTCGGATCAACTCTATATTAAACACTGTTATCACAGTTTCAAGTCGCAACCCCACCCCGTATTCCTGGCTGTCCCGCCAGTGTTATCAAGTGCTCTGAAATAAGAAGTAATTAGAAAGAGAGAACCAGAGTTGACAGAGTATCGTCTATCTGAATTTGTCATGACAACTGCTTAAACAACATGACAAAAGATGGCACCAAAGATACTCCATTGGAAGAGTTTTATCCTCTCTTCTAATATACAGATGCATACCAGCAGTCAAAACTGATGAATAGAAATGCAAACATGAAGGATCTGATATCTAAGAAAAAAACAAAACAGTTAAGCAGTCCTGCTCCTAGACACACCCAGAGATATTACATTCAGAACCATGAAAACTCTGTAATTAAGAATAGGTTTGTCCTTCACATGAGACAGCATCCAAATAGGACAAGTTTATACAAGGAGACCAAAAACTCAAGGGAAAAATAAAATTTTCAAGTTTACTATATACATAGGACCCCATATAGACTCTGTGATGGTCTAATTGAGATCATTCAAAAGATAAAAACACAGAAAGAGAGACAAGGAGATTACTTTAGTAAGCAAGAGGGCAGGAGAGGCTACCTGCTCCTGCATCACGTATTCAGCCCTCAGAAGAAGCAAAGCCTAGAGCACAGTACCAGATACTCACTCGGTGCTACTTTTGAGTCTGAAATGAATTAGGGCATCAAATGTCCATTCAGCCAACACAGAGAAAGTGGCACTAACTCTGAACCACCTTTTGGAGGGAACCAACAGCAGCACACTGCATTTGTCACCACCACGCCTACGGAAATTGGGCTAGGAAAAGCTGCCTATGGTAGAGGAGACAAATACCTCCCTGGGTGTACGTACACATATAGCAGATGCTGCAACACACTCCCACACAGGGCAGATAGTGGGGCTTCCTTCTTGTAAATAACCTGAGCCAGGAGCATCCTCCAGCCCCAGGGGCAGGCAGCACAGTGCATTTTACCTCGATGGGGAAGCTTTTTTCTCCCTTTCTCACCCCTGCTCCAAAACAGTGTTATCCACAGTGCCTACCAGAAACACCTCCCAACTTACACTAACTCTGAGAACTGTATCTGGGCATTGCTTGGGATCAGAACTGGTCATAGAGACAAAATCTGCACCAAGGAGCTGGCTAGCAATTAAACAATACTGACAATCACAGGACAGTAACAGAGCCCATGCTCTGGCTCTCAGTGGACATAGCCTACAATGACAGAATAGGCAAGAACAAAGTTTCATTTTTGTTTTAGAGAATATAATGGTATTCCATGAATATTTTTTCTCTTATCACACAATCATGAATAGCTTCAATTCTGCAAAATGTACTTGTAACCTCATTGCTTGCAGATATCATCTTTACAATTTTCAGTTCCCCATAGGTCTCTTGGTTAGGAGAATCAAATCAAAACTGTGTTGCGAGATTAACATGAAACGACAAATTACCCTTCAAAGCACTAAGGAAGCTTGTGAATTTGTGGATTGTCCTCTCTCAATTTTTACAGCAGCTGGAACAGAATCTTACAGCAATACTCTCTGCAAATACCAGGCATACATTTTAAGATAACTGTAAATTAAACAGGCAAAAACAGGCCAAAAGAATCACCAGTGCGGATCATTAAGCAACACACTGGAAAGCACTCTAGAACACAAGGAGCAGAAAGCAAGGCTAAAGGTCAAGGGCACAAAAATAAAACAATTACATTGCAAGAGCTTTTTTCACCTGTAATAGAAGAAAAACACGCCTGAGAATGGATAACAAAAAAAAATTCACATTTTTTAATCGCATGTCAGTAATAATTATAATGCATTCTTCTTGCCATCTACACCATACATAAATGAAAATACTCCACATGTCCAGTTTTGTATTTTAATGATTCTGAACTAAACCAATGCTTTGCAGGATGCAGCAGCAATCCACTAGGACAGTGAGTGGAGTACTGAGACTTAAGCAAAGATAATCAATAAAAGAAAGCTGACAGTAGACAGTCAGTACTATTGACAGTAGACTGATATTGGCTACGTGGAATGATTTCCAGCGGATTTTTTTTTAATTATTATTTTTAAAAACTTGGTCCACAAATCAAAAAAGTTGGAATTCATTACTTAGAACCATTCTGTTCATCAGATGGATGAGGTTCACAGGATGACTTGAACATCTACACCCTAGGCTTCTCTAATCCTTGCAATATATATCTAAACACTTTTATAAGTTATTTCACATGTTATGAATATCATATAGCCCAAACTCTCAGACAACAGAATGCAACTGCTTCTCAGTGGATGCCTTCTCCCTTCATCTTGAACACACATACACACACTTTCTAATGAAGTTAAGCAGTAGGTATAAATCATGTACCTGACCTTAACAACCTTCAGCTAACTAACACCATCTGTTTACTTTTAGAAACCCAGATCCTGCCAGCTTAAGGAAGAACTAATTAATTATTGTAATTCAGTATTATTTCATTTATTATCTTTATAAAATAAATTAACTTCAAGCTGGAAACACTCATTACTTATCCTTAGAAAAAAGTTAATCAATATTTACCTCAAAGAAGAAAAAAAATCAAACAACCCACCACTAACTTTGGCTACTCCCTAGAAATATGATACTAGTCCACCAACATAGAGAGGAAATTGCAGTATTATACAGCATGTTTGTATCACTCTTCAATCAGCAGTTTATATAAATATGTCAGTGCCTTTTTGCATTAGATGTATTTTATTTCCAGAATGTTCTTAAGTTATTTTAGCGCCCTGATATTCACAAATAGAAATTCTAACTATAGAGAGTACGCTTATCAGGAATTGTTGTCAGGGGAAAAATAAAATCACTTTACTACAGCACTACTGGCTTCCAGGCAGTAAAAACATAAAAACAAAATAAAACAAACAATTATTATTCTCATTTTTCTTAAAAAAGGATTGGGATTTGTTTGTTTGTTCTTCTGATCAGTTACCAAAGCTTCAAATTAGAAACACTCAGTACAGATTTGACACAGAGCTGACAGATGTCAGTGGAAAGATCCTCCTGGATTTTGAGATCAGGACACAAAACCTGTCATACCCTTACAGATTTTTGCACAAGTTATGCATCATCACTGGAAATTAGTTTTTTGTCCTGCCAGGTTCATGAGCTATGCAGAGCTTCAAGTCACCTTTGTTTTGGGAGCTGAACACATCTCAACAAAACACAGTTTAGTTAATACCATTATTAAGTTATCATTTTAAGATTTCACAAAATTGCCAGACACTGAAACTGTACATCAGATAAGGAAAACTGAGAACAGTTTACCCATTCTCATTTTAGGTACCAAAAATCTTTATCCTCTGCATTTTGAACTCATTTACACACAGGAATAAATTAAAGAGTCTACCAAATGTTGTGGAAAAATATGCTTACGTTGTTCTGATGCAAGACTTGCAGTACTCTGTTGACGTTATTTAAGGCATGTACTCGTGTGGAACCTCGTTCTTTTGGCTGAAAATAAAAAGTTACAATCTGTTCACATCAGAATTGACTTGACAGACCAAACAAAATAAATGATAGAGCAAGGAAAGAACAGGAAATTTGTCTTCATTTTCTCCAGATTTTTTTTTCTTTTTAAGTAGGAACAAAAACCAAACAAGATCATCCACAACAACTTCAAAATGAAAACTGGTCAGAACATTAGTCCTGAATTCAAGGCATAGGACAAGCCTTGGATTCAAAATATGTTTCAGTCCATCTTCAGTAAGTCCAGAATTTTTATTCCCAGCATCTGCAGAATTATAAACTGGCAATACAACAGCAAAGTGGGAGTTCCCGGGGAAAACTGAGGGTTTTGAAAGTTTGCCAGAGTAGTTGAAATTTTTTGGCTCCCAAGAGGGAACAAGCAGCAATTTGTTTTTCTGGCACTGAAAGCCTACTAAATCTTTGCATACTGGGAAGAAGTTACACTTCCTGACTTTCCCTTCCTTTTAATATCAGGGGAAAAAAAACCACTGTGCTCTTGACAATACCTGCCACTACATTTGCTTTTAATCACTGCAATTTAACTCCTGTGGCCGAACATGATCGTACTACAAGAGTATGATCTGAACTTGGAAGATGGTAATCAACAGAACTAGAAACCAAAAAACTCCTATTGTCTTCAGTATACTTCAAATCAAACCACAAATCATTAAAGGTACTAGAGAAATGCATCTGTTTAAAAAACAAGGCAAGCTTGCAAGGTGAAATTTTAAATGGCTGAAGGTTCCCCATAAGGTCAATAAACAAATTTGAGATTTTTTATAAATAGTGAAATCAAGAATTTAATCCTAAGTGATTAAATAGGTTTCACTATGCCTCACATATCTTTCTGAAGAGGGATGAATGTTAGAAGGGGATGAGTTTTCAGCCACACACACACACACTTTCACACACACACACTTTCAAACAGACTTCAGTAGTTTTCAGCCCTTTCCTATCTGTAGATCACAAAGGATTTTTCAATGGAGATGCAGATTTTTGCACGCCTGTTCGCTGTTGTCTTTTTCCTTTCTTTTTTCTTTAAGGGATCTTTCATGAGCGTATTAGAAAAATTCCACAGGTATCCAGCTACAAGCTGCTCTTCCAGATCACCCAGAAGCAGACCTTTAAAAGATCTCTATTAGAAATATACACTCTGAATATCACCACTGGTTTTACGTGCTTTGCTAAACAGTATGTTAACCCTCAAGAGAGGGTTACACAGCTAACTTTAGCCTGACCCTATATCCCATGAGTGGAGTTCATGGGAATTTCACTGGAACTGTAGAGAGTAAGTACATACAAGTGAAATAGGTTTTTAAAAAAATTAAAATTAAAAAAAAAAAAAAAAATCACATGCCACAGCTTGGGTCTTGTGTGTTTTGTTTATTTGTTGTGGTTTTTTGGTTTTTTTGGTTTAGTTTTTTTAATAAATGGGAATACAACTCATACACATTTCTCTTACCAGAGGTTTCCCCGTCAGACCCTCCAAAAGGTCCAAAAGCTTCCTTCCATCTTTCAGATCTGTGAACATGTCCTTAACTGGGGGCTTCCCACTCTGCAGAAGAAACAAAAGCAATAATAAAAACAGTGTTTAAGCAGAACCTCCCTGAAAAAGGTACTTTTTCCTTTTTATCTTTCAATTCATTCTTATTTGGTACTGAATGCAGGAAATAAAAGCTAGAAGACTGTGACAATTATCAGGAAGGCACCCTTCCCTTCTTCAGTGTTCTTCTCCCCATTTATATGGTTCTGTGCCTCAGCAGCCTAGTACAGAGAAACCAAATCAGTGCATCCTGACTCACATTAAGGTAGATACATTAACACGCAAAGATGGCAAAGAAAAAAACTTGGCAAGTTCGAGGAGTCATTTGAGAAAGAATGCTTTGGTCTGGCTGCATCTAAAGGAGGAAGAAACTGGTGCTTTTCAGAAAGAAGCTATTGGGACAAATTCTCTCAGATTTAAAAAAAGACAAAACAAAAAAGGACTTGGAATTGAGCCCTGCGTAAGGAGCTGCCACTCTTCTACACAGACTAGTAAATCAAAAGGTGTAATATATATTGAAAAAACTAATCATTTTCTCTACCTTGGAAAAAGAAGCAAAATGTGAAACTCAGAGTTACTCTAAATCATACATTTCTAATATTCATTTTCTTTGGGGGTGGAGGGATCCTGTACAAGAATGGTGGTAGCTGACAGCAGAATCATGTTAACCTTTTCCATGCTCCCTTGTAATCTTATTTCTTCTTGGACTCTAAGAAAGTTAACATGGGCAAGTGTAACAGGGCAGGGGAAGAAGACACAGGCAGCCAGCAACTAAGTAAGTGCATTTGCTTTGTAATACTCATCTGCTGCCTGCCAGGAGATCAATTAAGCTACTGCTTTCAGTGTCCTTTTGAACTGCCAATTTGAGAAGAAAAATATTTCCTAAAAAGTACCTAAAACTCCAATATTGCCTTTTTCTATCACCTTGGCTTTATAACATTGCTCTTCAGAAAGAAGGCTGTCAAAGGCCCATCTTACATGACATGAATTAGCTGACACAGATCTCCCCTACCTTCACTTACCTCCTCCTGCCCTGACAGCTGCTAGTAATTGCCAAATGCTGGCTAACAAATCAGAAGAGAGTTGAACTGCCCACTGGACCTCATTTTCTGGCAAATATCTGTTTATCCCCAAAATTCATAAGCGTTTTTCTTAAACGTCCACTTTAATTAGATTTGATGCTACTAAAACTATTCACAAGAAAACAGAGTTGAATAGCTGCAGAGCCATATTTTAATCTCCTGTACAAAAACACACCTAAATGTAACTCACAGCATCAACCAGCTAAACAGTGGCAAGAATGATCGTATAACTAAGGTCACTTCTTAAAATACACAGATGCTAGCCCCAGTGTCTGATATTAAATTAGTTTTGCAATGAATTTTTCCGACAAATTTATTCTCCAATTACTTTTACAAGTCATGCTTAAAAATGTGTATATACACGTTGACACATACTTAGGTAAAGGGTGTAGAAAACTAGGTAGCTGTCAGACCAATACCAAATAGGAGCATTCGTTAAATATCAGCACTTGATAACATCCTAGAGCGTGCACTTTTCACAGATAATTCAGATGCTTCCCTGCTGCATAGCAACTCAATCAAACCTTTAAAGCATGCTAGAGCAGGAGAACAGGAATACCTAAGAGCAGGTGCAGGGAAGCCTCTTGTACAGTTCATGGTGTATAACAGGAGGGGGTGATCCACAGTGCAATTACCCCAGATGCCAGTAAAATTTGGTTTAAATTTGGTTTGCATCACCACACGGAAGATACTAAAAGTAGGTTGGTAAGGGCATGAGGAAATTTTTCATGTGTCCCGAAGAGCAGACAAAAGAAGCTAACAGAGGTCTCACTGGATGCAATATGACTCAAATGCTTGTTGTGAAAGCAAATACCTGTCAGCCATTGAAGTGTGGGGTCTCACAAGAACAGAGTAGAGGGGGAGAATCACCTCCCTCGACCGGCTGGCCACGCTTCTTTTTATGTGGCCCAGGATATGATTGGCTTTCTGGGCTACAAGCGCACATAGGCATCTCATGTTCAATTTTTCATCCACCGGTATCCCCAAGTCCTTCTCCGCAGGGCTGCTCTCAATCCGTTCATCCCCCACTCTGTACTAATATTGGGGATTGCCCTGAGGCAGGTGCAGGACCTTGTACTTGGCCTTGCTGAACTTCATGAGGTTTGCATGGGCCCACTCCTGAAGCCTGTCAAGGTCCTTCTGGATGGCATCCTTTCCCTCTTGCGAATCAACTGTACCACTCAGCGTGGTGTCATCTGCAAACTTGCTGAGGGTGCGCTCAAACCCACTGCACATCATTGATGAAGATATTGAACACTATGGGTTGCAATACAGACCCCTGAGGGAAACCACTGGTTACTATCTCCACTTGGACATTGAGCAGTGGACTGCGGCCATCCAGCCAATTCTTTATTCATCTAACAGTCCATTCATCAAACCCACATCTCTCCAATTTATTGACAAGGATGCTGTGGGAGACAGTGTCTAATTATATAATTAAAACAATGCATGCATGTATAACAGACTGGTAACATCAAAACTGAGAATGCTATAGCTATATATCCTCAATAAATTTGTTGCCTTAGGTCCAGAAGTTAAAAAAAAAGATTTGGATCTACCGAAAAAGCAGAAAGATGCCTCATTTAATACATTGCAACAACGGTGTCGAGAGCATACAGCCTTCTTTCTTTGTTTCCCATCCCCTCACTTCACACGCATGAAAACAAGCTGAATGACTTCCTGCTTTCAGTCATTCATTTCAACAGGTCATAGTACATTCCAGTCCTGTGCAATGCACCCTGCTGTGATGGTGGAAATAATTCAGATTTGCTTTCTCAGGAGAATGGTTTTCCCATTTCACTGGCCATCAGAGCACCACATCTTGCCATCAGTTTAAAGTCAGCAGAAGAGTATTAAATTATTTCTGCAATCTAAGCTACTCCTTCCTGGTTTATTAAAGTATCCACTATCCTCAAAACAGAGGCAGCAACATGCAAAGCCTCTGTATTTAGTGAGGTCTAGCAAAATGCTCTCTATGGGAAGAAAGTCAGTTCACAGGAAGCACTTCTACAAATGCAGGGCGACTGAAGTTGGCTAAGAAAGGGCTGTAGCACCCACCCCGCCAAGCCCATCACCACCTCCACTGCAGCACACCTGTCAGGAAGGCTGGAAACCGGCTCCTCCAGCTTCCCACACCCATCTGAGGGACATGCAGGCACCTGGTGCCAGCGGCCACCCAGGCAGCCCCAGCTGTCCCATCAGGGCACAGAGCCAGCCCACAGTGCTGCTACCGTAATGCGAGCGGAGACTGTGCATGCTGCACCCTCCTCCGCTCACACTGCCTCCTCCCACTTGTGCATTTTCCTCACACCTAGACACACATTTACACACAGGATCTGCTATCTGAGCCACACGATCTGTAATCGGGAACATCACTGCTCTGTCCTCCAGTGCACAGCGCTGCTAGATCCTGCCCGGCTTTCCTAGGATGCAGTTGGATAGCAACCTGCTGTGCCTCAGGAAGTCTCTTACTTTCCTTCTTCAAAAAGAACAGCTGTGTATCCCAACTTCTGACAGCTGTATGAGTCATCAAGTTTATTAAGCTTAGAAAGGATCTGGAAAATAGTTTTATAAAACGGCAGCCTAGGGATGCTCCCCTACATCCATTTCCCAAGAGAAGACAAGGAATAGCTGTGGGGCAATGCTGGCAGGACAGCTATGCGTGCCCTCCTACACCAGGCAGGGGCCAGTCCAGAGCCAGCCAGGGCTGCTGCCATCACCACCGTCTCCTTGTGAGAAAACCGATGTAGAGCCCCATCTCTTTGCACGTAGGACTCACCACTGAGCCTACTGGGGGAGGCTGCTGTGGCAGCGCAGAGGCAATCTGGGAGCCACAACACACCACCACTAAGGCTGGACCTGTGCTTCTAGTCAGGGAGCCTAATCCAAACCAGTGGGGCCAGGAGCACTCCAAGCCCTGCCTCTGACCCACCATGGGGCACATGACAGGCCCCGTGCAGATATCACTGCCCCGAGCTGTAGTGGGGTGGAGCAGGCGGCCGTGGGACCAGCTGTGTGCTGGGGCAGACTGACACGCTGCGGCAAGAGCCAGGGCTCTGGGGGAGGGCAGAAGTCCTCTCCCGCCCTGCAGGGTAAGGCATGGGGCTCTGCAGATTGCTTCCCCCGCCATCCCTGCCCACACCCGTACCACTCACTCCTAACCTCCAGAAAGCAATCTGGCCTCCTGAAAAAGTCTGTCTGTACAGAAATTATATGTATATTTATCTGTGTGTGTATATATCTGCAGTATATAAAAAGCGTATATCTCTCTGTAGAGTCCTGCCTGATATGCAGTATGCTAAGCCAATCTAAATTTCTCCTTTTCAGAACTGAGTATTTTACTCACTTTCTACATACTTAAAGACTGCAGTTCAGCCTCTGCTAGCATCCCGTAAGGAGAAGCAGTCCATCACTGAGCATAATGGATCAAGAAATTTAAGTATTTCCCTTATAAAAATGACAGTGAGAAACCACACTGAGCCCTTCAGCAAGGGCAAATTGCTAGTCACGGTTGCATTGGTAAGTACTTAAGGAGCAGCCTACATTGTGCAAAGCACTGTACAAATACGAGGCAGATAATGGGTCCTTTCTCAGAGACAAAACAGGGTCCAGTTTGTACTACAAAGATAGTATAAAGGACAGGCAGGGACACACTGCCTACCAGGAGAACTGTGCCGGTTCAGGGTGTAAAACATTCACACGTTCACATCCCCCTCACCGAACACTTTTATCAGTTAACAGAAGGTAGTTTTTCTCAGCTTTGCTTATGTTTGCTGCGACAGCAAAAAAGCACTGGCAGAAACCGCTTTCCCTCAGCCTGCCCATGAGGGCTTTGCCAGCAGAGCTGCACACAGAGTCGCTGTAGTAGAGACAAGGGCTTGATAAGACAGACGAAAGAACATGCCCGTTGGCCGTCTTTCAGCCTCTCTA